TACATTGTATGCATTCTGTTTCTTTGTGATTGAATAGTTGCTGGGCCTCAGTTTCCTTATCTGTAATGTAAGAGGCTTGAATAGATCGTTATTTAAGAATATTTCTAGCTCTGATATTTTAGATGTCTTCTCTTTCCTATGTTCCGACTTCACGCACATAACAACAACAACAACAACTCTCCCCCCTCTTAGAGCGACCCCAATATAGGGTTTGAATGGAAGACTTTGCTGTTAGTCCTTCAGTGCTGACAGGACCAGCAAAACAGCAGTTAATTTGAAAATTGAATAAAACGAGGCTCTCATACTCTTGATACAATCTGTACAGTGGAAAACGAACAGAACAAATTGTACTTTGCAACTTCGGACCGCTCTTCTTGTTTCCTGGGGATTTAAAAAAAAAAAAAAAGGCTGCGGGGAGGCGGGAGGGAGGGAGCGGGGGTCAAGCGATGTATGAGACACACTTGTAAGCATCTCCATATCCGGAGAAAGGTGCGTTTGACTGTTGGAGCTTGGCGGGAAACCACTCGTGACCGCGGTAGCTAAGAAAGCAGGGGCTGAACCCAGCCGGGCCGGTGGAGGTGGGGCCCGGGGCGCAGGCGGACCGCGTTCCTGGCAGCTCTCCCACCGCGCGCAGACCCAAGGCTAGGTCCCTATGAGGAGGCTCTGCGGGACCTTTTCTTCCCCTGCTCTGGACCGCCGTGCAGCTATGGGCTACCAGGGGCAGCTGCCTGTCATCCCGCTGCAGGTAAAACTGGTAACTGAAGCAGGTTTTGAAACCCCTTTCCTTCAAGTTTTACCTGCTATAGAGAGATGCTACCTCCACCCTGAGGTCTTGGTTTAGTACCTAGGCAACCTCTCTGGAGAGAGAAGAGGAGGGAAGAATTTTACCTTCACCTGATTTTTTTTTCTCTTAGCAGTTGTGTAACCTTTGTAATTTCTCCAAGCCACAGCATTGCCTCAGTAACAGAGCTGGAATCCCTGACCTTGATTGAGTAGCTCACTTTTTAGGATGGCATTTGTTGACAAAGCACTATTTACTAATCACTCTTCTACTTTATTATTGTCTTCATCATTATTTTGTTGTTACAGTCACTGATAGTACTTACTGTTACTACGAATATTATCGTGTTAGCATCCGACATTGATATTCCTCTGATACTTCTTTAATTTTTTTTTGAGGTCTTATATATTTAATAGCCATTTTATCTACTGAAATAGAGAGATGGAGATGACAAAGAAAGCCTCATTTCTGAAAGTGATCATAAAGGGAAAACTTGTCGTCAGTCAGCTGCTGTTTTTAATGTTGTCAACTCCATCATAGGATCTGGCATAATTGGTAAGTGGGTTTTAATTTTTTGTTGAAAACGCCAAATTCAACAGACTTATGCTGTCTGTTTCCACTGTTTATTTACTGGGGGGGGGGATTTAAAGTGGTAAAATTTGTAGTTTTGGGGGTTTTTTTCTATATAAACCTTCCTTTTTGAAATGTGCTGCGGGCCCCAGCCTCTTTGATGCAGAAGATGGGATTGTGATTCCCACTGTTTCCATATTTGAGGACAGCCCTCCACATGCAGTGAGGTTAAGAGAAGCTCACAGCATCAGAGCTGCTCATTTTCTTTTTCACTGGCTGCAAGGTTAATCGACAGCTGTGTTTGTGTGCTCTACAGACAGACTCATAGCAATCTTATAGAACAGAGTAGAAATGCACCATCATAGGGTTTCCTAGACAAAGGCTAGAAGAGATACGAAGCACCAAGGGGCAATCTCTAAATGTGTGCCCTGAGTCCCCAGCCCACAGCCTCAGGGGTGGTGGTGGTGATGATTCACCAGCTGATATGCATTTGGCCTGGGTTGTTCTGCCTTCCCTCTCTGTGCTTATTCCTAGGTTGTAATCTTCAGGGGAGCAGATCTCCAGGTCTTTTCTTTCATGGATCCACTGAGTGGGTTTGAACCACCAACCTTTTGGTTGGTAATCAAGTGCATAACCATTGGTCAGTCAATGATGTCACCTAATTTACTTTGCTTTCTCTTCCTCTTCTTGAAGTGTCAACCCTTATTTGAATCAACATTCTTCGATTTTATAGCCATGTAAAACCTCCAGAAATTTGGAAATGTTTAAGGAACAAAAGTTTAATGTGTAAACAGTCTTGTGAAAAATTGAATCCATACAATATTTCCTTACCCATCTGTATAGTGCTCACTTTTAAAATACAAACTTACTTTGATATACTAAACTTAAATATCATTTTGTTATTAAATACACATCTTTTTCCTTGAAACTACAAGTACGTTTTTAACAAATGGATCAATCAGAATGAAAAGAAACAAACAGCTCTTATATTTTCCCAAATTATTAGAAGCAAAGGAAAAAAACTCAAAAACAAATTTTTAAGTGTAAAAGTATAGTGAAAAGAGCAGGTATTTTTTCAGATACTTTTGACATTTGAAAATACCCATTTCAGAAAAGGAAAAAGACAAAACAAAAGTCCTGCAAACAGTAATACTTACTGAGGATAAAACTTTTTGCTACGTAATTTTTTTAGTCACAGTCATCATTTTCTGAAAACTAAACACTGATCTGAGTTTAATTACTTTTCTTGTCTTTCATTAGTGTGTTGCTTGATTTTACATGTTTTCATACATAGACTTTTTCCTCCGTTTTTTTTTCAAATAGTTCATAAAATGGAGGCACCTAAGGCAAAGTCCTGGTGTGGGACTGTAGAATAAGTCCTGGACTGCTAGCCTCAAGGTTGGTGGTTCAAACCCACTAGCTGCTCCTCAGAAACTACAGAGAGTGGCTATGAGTCGGAGCTGACTCTGCCACACCATTCAACAACAAAGACAAAATGGAAAAAAGTAGGAGCAAAGACTTGATTGAAAGTCTGCCTCCATGGACCAGGGAGAAGGCTGACAATTCTTAGCAGACTTCAAGATTTCGTTTCTGATATGAACATCTTAAACTGATCTATGTTGGCACCATTTCAAAGTATGTCTTCAGTATGCTATAAGGTTTTTTATTTCAAAAGAAATTATTTTTGGATAATAAAAATCCTGGATGAAAATACTTTCAACATGTTTTATTTCAAATATTTTATTGTTCACAATCTAAAATTGTCTATGTCTCCCCCAAAAATCAGGCAATAGGATTTCACAGATTCCCCAGTTTTAGGAAAGACTTTGGCTTTTTTATTTTTCTACCCTTGACCCTATGTCTGCCCTATTTTGACTGCGGGCTCAGTATTTCTTTACATCCCGTAATTTTCTGTACTCCTTTTGATCCTCTTTTCTTTCCCAGCTAACAAATAGGAAGGATTTGGGGTCATTAGTCTCCACATACCTAAGGGCATGACCCTGAAATGAAGATTATTTATATCATTTGGCCTCTACTTTTCACTTTCTAGTTTCTAATTCATATCCCATCACCTAATAAACTTGTTCCATCAGTTAAAACATTTTATACTGAAATAAATATTAAAATGCTCAGCAACGTTTAATTGTAGTACTGTCTTATGCACTATTACAACGATGTCATGTGAATATATAAATTTACTTAACTTGTTATAGAAAGGAATTGGGGGGGAACGCCTCTATTTCTATGTCTTATTAATTTGAGGGGTGGGACATTTTATGTTTTCTAGGATTGCCTTATTCAATGAAGCAAGCTGGCTTTCCTCTAGGAATACTGCTTTTATTTTGGGTTTCATTTGTTACAGGTAAAATACAATATCATTGCGTACTCCTGCAACTGCAATTGTAAATGACTTTTACACTCACACACACACACACACAATCTTCAGTTGAATTTCCAGTTAATTAAAAAGTACATCAAAGAATTCTACAGAATTTGGACATTTATGTCTGAGGAGATTTACTTTTATTACTAATCCTCTGAACAGATTAGAAAAAATGAAAGAGCATTATATATTCCTGGGCTTAAATCCTTTTCATGTGCCTTTTGCACTTCATGCAGAAAATGCAAGTTGGGGGAGTCATTTTAAAAAGTTGGGTTAAGACTAAGAGAAGACATGCATGAAAGTGGAAATGACAGGACTTTCTTTCCCACAAAACTCAGCAACAGATACTCCCAAATTAGCCGTCTTTTCCAGCACTGTTTGTACAGGTAGAACTGAAAGCTTTGGCTCTCAGTCCGAGGGACTCTCACCCCTCCCATCTTGCCCATGCCTGCCTCCTGCCTGCAGTCCGAAAGTGCAGTGGAAGATACTTCCTTATCAATTCTTTTCTGTTTCCCTGTCTTCATGTATCATGTTCATTTACTATCCACGTTTTCCCAATCCTTCTTCTAAATGTTGCCCACAATCATTCTCTATTTCCACTGTCCTCATCCCACCATGTCACCTCATGACACACATGCGACCTTTCCTCTGTCTCAGAATCCTTGTAAACATCTAACACACATCATAGATTACCACCTGTAATGGTTGCAGCAAGGAGCTCTGGTAGCATAATGGTTATGAGTCGGGCTGCTAACCTCAAGGTCTGCACTTCAAAACTATCAGGCTTTCCGCAGAAAGATGAGGCTTTCTGCTCTCATAAATATTTATAGACTTCGTTGCTATGAGTCAGAACCAACTCCAAGGCATATCACCACTTGTGGTTCCAGTTGTGACGATCATGTGTCTGATTGCCTAGTTGTCCTTACACCAACCAGTTTACACCAACGGGTGTCAACCACCTCATCTGCTCCTTTCTCCAGGACTGGCCTGAGGCACAGAGAAGTCAGCCACCCTGGAAGGTAATGACCTTCATCTCCCTTTCCCCTTATCTAACAGCCAATGACTGACAAGAATCCAAAGACCACTCTCCCTCCTTGTCTCTAAGAGGGACCAGTGTGTGGTGCAGTTTGAGCTTCAGGATTCCAATATAGGACTGGATTGAACATAACGTTTACCTGAGATAGTATCCTTGCTGACCTGTTTGTCCAGCCTCATCTTCTCACTCTTCTTCAGAGATCAGTCCATCAATAAATTCCTTACTCAAGAATCTCAGTCTCTCTTGGCTTTTGCAGACTCTGATCTAATATTTTCTCCTTTATAAAATCTCAGGCTTAAAGGAACATCCCATAACTCTGCTCTTTTTCCTTGGGCTGAAGAAAAGAGAGTAAAGTGTATAAACCATAACCCATTCCTGTCAAGTGGATTCTGGCTCATAGTGACTACAGGACAGAGTAGAACCGTAACATGAGCTTAACAGAAGCAGACTGGCACATTTTTCTCCCTCAAAATGGATTTGTGGGTTTGAACCACAAACTTTTTGGTTAACAGTTGAATACTTAACCACAATACCACCAAGAACCTTAGTAAAGCATACAAACCGATTGCCACTGAGTAGATTCCTGCTTATAGCAACCCTATGTAGGATTTCACAGATTGTAAATCCTTACAGGAACAGACAGCCTCATTGTTCTCACATGGAATGATAGGGGGATTTGAATGGCCAACATTTTGGTTAATGGCCTACACCTAATCCACAGAGCCCCCAGGACTCCAATAAGGCATATGTTGTTGTTGTGATGAGATATTGAATTGGTTCCAACCCTACATAGGGTTTCCGAGAGTGGCTGGTGGGTTTGAATTGCTGACCTTCATGTTATCAATCCAGCGCTTATCCAACAGTGCCACCCACGCCAGAGCTCTTATTGTTGTTGTTGTTGTTAGGTGCCATTGAGTCAGTCCCAACTCATAGCAACCTTATGCACAACAGAACGAAACACTGCCCGATCCTGGGCCAACCTCACTATTGTTGCCAAGCTTGAGCCCATTGATGCTGCCACTTTGCCAATCCATCTTGCTGGGGGCCTTCCTCTTTTTTTCTTACCCTCTACCTTACTAAACATGATATTCTTCTCCAGTGACTGGTCCCTCCTGACAATATGTCCAAAGTACGAGAGATGAAATTTGGCCATCCTGGCCTCCAAGGAGCACTCTGGCTGCACTTCTTCCAACACAGATCTCTTGGTTCTTTTGGCAGCCCATGGCACTTTCAATATTCTCCTCAGAGCTCTTAGTAAGTGCCAAATTTAGAACTACAGATGTGTTGACATCTGTTCTTGCCTGCTCTCTTCCCACCACCCTAAGACCTAAGTTGCTTCTAGATTCCACAGATCTTAATATGTAGCTTACGATCCATAACTTTGTGGTATGGGATCCATAATGTTGAGTTTATTGAGTTGTTGGTGTTTAAAAGTTACATTCTATTTATTAAAGTATTTATTACATTGCAGCATCCCATTCAAAGATTTACACTTGTCTTTTTTAAGCTTCCTATTTCCCAGTCAATCAGTAATGACAAACAATTAATTTCCTCCCAAGTATAATAACCCTGGCTTATTTAAGTGCAATGTAAATATTTAAGTATGCTGTAAACCAGTAGATGGAAAAAATTAAAACATACATCCTCTAAGAAGTCACGGCAGAGGAAAATAAATAGGTTACTAAAACAATTATAAGTAATTCATAATGTTAATAACTCTTTCAACTGATGCTTTATTAACCTAACATGAGTACCAGCAGCCTCTATATATGTATGTATGTGTATCTTCTATATACATCTATATAGTGGTTTTCATCATTGTATTATCACAGTTGTGGTGACTGGTACATTGTTGTTGTTATGTGCTGTTGAGTCAGTTCTGATTCACAGTGACCCTGTATAGATTTTCCAAGAACAGCTGGTGAGTTTGAACTGCTGACCTTGTGGTTCAAACAGACCTTGTGGCCCAGTGCTTATCCTATAGTACCACACAAACATTCATTCATGTTTGTTGAATGAATTAATGATCAACACAGTAGGGGTGATGAGATCAAAGACCACAGCCTTCAGTATGGATTGCATCTCACTGTATGTTGTTGTTGTTGTTGTTAAGTGCCATCGAGTCGGTTCCGACCCATAGCGACCCTGTACAGGGTTTCCGAGGGTGTAAATCTTTACAGGAGTAGAAAGCCTCATCTTTCTCCCGCGGAGCGGCTGGTAGTTTCGAACCGCTGACCTTAAGGTTCGCAGCCCGATTCGTAACCACTACACTACCAGAAAACAAAAATCCTCACCACTGGACAATAAACAACATTCTTATCAACGCAGAAAAGATTGAAGTTGTCAAGGACCTCATTCTTCTTGGATCAACCATCAACACTCATGGAAGCAGCAGTCAAGATATCATACAATGCATTGCATTAGGCAAATCTGCTGCACAAAATCTTTTTAAAGTGTTGAAGAGCAAAGCCTCAAGCTTGGCAACAATTGTGAGGTTGGCCCAGGATCAGGCACTTTTGGTTCTGTTGTGCATAGGATCACTATGAGTTGGTACCGACTCGATGGTACCTAACAACAACTACAACAATACTAGTAGCATCTGTTTTGTTTTATAAAGGCAACAGAATGGATTTTTTTTTTTAACTTTTTAATCTTGAGGTTCTAAAATACTGTTTCTCATTAAAGAGAAATACTTTGAATATACATTGTAAATACCAGTTTTTGTAGGCCAATTATGATTGTCTTGTGAGGAGAGATAAAGAATTTGCTGTTTGAAGATTAAAATGAAGGTACTTTTGGTTAACTGTAAAAAAAAAAAAAAGTCTATCACAATGCCTGGCATGCTGATAGGATTCCATTTTTGAGAGGTTGCATGTTATGGTACAGTTGTGGTGCAGAAAGCATTGTGTTTGGAGCCAGATAAATATGGTAATAATGATAAAAACTACAGAAACAGTTGTTAATACTTTCCCAACACTCTGTGTGCCCCACATTTTGCAAATGCTTTAGATATCTGTAGTATATTAGTGGTCTGGGCTGGAGATAAAAATCAGGGTGTTATTCACATTTGTGTAAAAATCAGAGAGATAGGTATAGATGAGATCACAGTGGAACATTTTAAAGAATAATAATAATAATAAAATCCTAAGAATTCAGTGTTTGGATAGAGTGAAAGAAACTAGCGGAAAATTGAATATAAATGGGTAGAGAGTAGAAGGACAACAAAGAACAAAGAGGACAAGGGAGGGGCTTGAGAAAAAGGGGAATAATAAACACCAAAATATGCTGATGAAAGAGAAAATATGAGTAAAGTATTGAGAAATCAATTGGGTAGAACAACATGGACATCAGTGATGAACTTGTTGAAAGAAGTTTCACTGATGTGGAAGTGAATCAGTAGAAATCATATTACAATGATTTTCTTCTTTGTACTTTAACACATTTACAGATTATGTAAAAGATAAAAGACAGCTAAAAGACGGCAAGTTTCAATAGGTGTTCAAAAACCATTTAGTGAAATGAAAGAAAAAAAGAGAAAGTGACTTCAACTTTTAAGGATATCAATTCTGTACAGTTATATCTTCAAATGTATTACTGAAATAGGACCTGAAAAGACAATTTTTAAATTACAGTGTTATCTTAATCATAATTACTATAAAATAGTGGCTAATTTTACTTTGTTATAAAGTAAGTGTTCTGATTCTATAATTATATTTTTGGTAAATTTATAAAACACTATGTAATATACATTTTTCATGTTTTATCTTCATATATTGAATATCTATGAACTATATGATGATTATCTACATTATGTTGCTTAAATGAGCAAAATCTTAAAAACAGTTATGTTATTGGTTTTGTTAGAAGAGAGTAATGGAACGCTGGTCTTTTGACAATTAGACTCTGTACCCACTTTAGTCCTGTTAATCGCACAAATATGTTAATTATATATTCATCTAGACAGAAAAGCATGTAACTGGAAATAGTCGTGGTTTGTGAAAAGAAAGAATACTTGTTATAATACTGTTGTTGTTGTTGTTGCTGTTAAATGTCACCGAGTCAGTTCCACCCCCTAGCAACCATGTATAGGGTTTCCTAGCAACAGCTGATGAGCTTGAACCACCGACGTGGTGGTTCTAATGAACTTAGCAGTCCAGTGCATCAACCCACAGCACCATACCAGGATTCCTGTAATACTATAGTGTCAGATTATAGTCTTCTGTAAACCAACTTTTTCCCCAATGTTAAATAAATCGAAACATGAAACACCTTCACATTAAATGCAATCTGAGTTTTTTTGTTATTTCTGCCACAGATACTTCCCTTATTTTATTGATAAAAGGAGGGGCCCTCTCTGGAACAAACACTTACCAGTCTTTGGTCAATAAAACTTTTGGATTCCCAGGGTATCTCCTCCTCTCTGTTCTACAATTTTTGTATCCTTTTATAGGTAAGATGGTTGTGAAGGAAAATGCTGTAATATTTGCATAAATATATAGCCATTTCTGAATAAACTAATTTTAATTGTCATTGAATAGTTATTGAAGAATATTAAGTTGAATATTTTCCATATAGCTTCCTAATGGTTCATTAGTTGTTTGTGCCTTTACTGTCTGGTACTTTTGGTTTTGTTTGTGAATCTTTGTTTCTTTTTTTAAAAGATGATGATTTTCACTGGGTTAATGCTTGTACTTACCTTGTTGTTTTTAAGTGCCATCGAGTTAGTTCTGACTCATAGAAATCCTATATAGAGTTTCTGAGGCTGTAAATCTTTGCAGGAGCAGAAAGTCTCATCTTTCTCCCACTGGTGGCTCGAACCACTGACCTTATGGTTTGCAGTCCTGTGCTTATCCTTAGCCACCGTGCTCCCTGTGCTTACTAGGTCTGGTGGAAAATAGAATCATTAAAAATGAGTGAAAGATGGATTTCTCTAAGGCTGAATGTATTTTTTGAAAGCCTAAGGATTTTTTGAAAGTCACGTGCAAAGTCACCATGCTGTTTAAAGTTTGTACTTTAATGGTAAAAATATCACCTATAACTTCTTGAGTAAGTAAAATACCAGCATTCACCAATAGTGAAATTAACCTCATCTTTAAAATTAGTGAGTACCTCCAAAACAATTGTTCAAACCACTTGCTATTTATATTTCTATAGAAGACTAAGAATATCTTTCCAAAAAGTCTAATTTTTTTTCACTTGGGGGAATATTTTGAAACCTTCAGTTTTCTGTTATTATTTCTCATTTATTACTGGGAAAGTATTTAAAAAGTGAATTCTAATGTGGAGCTGTAGGATAAGCACTGAACTGCTAACCACATGGTTGGTGGTTCAAACCTACCAGCCACTCCTTGGAAACCCTATGCAGGGTCGCTATGAGTTGGAACCAATTCAACGTCCCTTAATAACAGCAACAACAATAACTAAAGAAATAATATTTTAAAGAACAATCCAAACTCATTACTTAAAGGAATTCTGTTGTGTGCTGTTAAATCAGTTTTAAGTCACATCAATATTGTAGGGTTTCTGAGAGCAGCTGGTGAGTTTCAACTGCTGTTGACCTTGCGATTAATAGTCCAGTGCTTATCCTGCAGGGCCACACAAGATACTCAAGGATGAATCCATTTATAAAGTGAACTTCTTTAAGTAACACAAATTAATACTCTCCTTTAAATCAATTGTCTAGTTATTTTTAAATTGTACATATAAGTCAGAACCGACTCGATGGGACTTAACAACAAAAAGTAATCACAATGTTTTTGAAGTTAGTATGATTATGCCAATGGCAAGTGTTACTGATTACTATTCAAATTATTCAGGAATATGTAATAGCTTACTTGTGAATACTATTTGATTGATTTTTTTTTTTTTTATCTTTTAGCTATGATAAGTTACAACATAGTAACTGGAGATACTTTTAGCAAAGTTTTTCAAAGAATCCCAGGAGGTAAGTCAAAACAAAAACTTTGAGAATTTAAACATTTATCTTATTATTTTTACTTTCAGAATTTTCAGTTTTAAGAATACATGTAACTTCATATATTCATATTCACCCAAATTAGATAATATTATATATCTTGCTCTATAGCCTGCTTTTAAAAGTTTCATTTTCTCTGAAAAAAACTTTTATTAATTCTATTGAATTATAATTTTGCAAATAGTATGGATATAGTTAGTCTCATTAAAAAAAATAATAATAACAGATAAGACTAAAGTTGCCTTTAGTGCCTCCATCCTGCTTACTATTTTATAATCATCAAAAATTATTTTTTTAATGAGATCACATAAGCAAAGAACACAACTTTGTTCTTAGCAATTTCTTTTCCACAGTTAATTGTGATAGCTTATAATGCATGCTTTGATTTTATATCTCAAGAGGCATAGTATGATGTCAGACTATTTTAAGCAGTAGGTATAATCCTACAAAGCCGAGGTGGTGTCATAGATTATGAGCTAGGCTGCTAATCTCAAGGTCAGTAGTTAAAATTTACCAGCTGCTCTACAGGAGAAAGATGAGGCTTTCTGCTCCCATAAAGATTTACAACCTTGGAAACCCTACAAAGGGTTGCTATGAATCAGAACCAACTCAGTGGCACACAACCACTACCACCACCAACAACAACAACAGATACAATTCCTAGCAAAGCTCTTTTTTTCTGAACTACATCACCAATGTCTTAGACTGGTATTGGACAATTTCTCATACTTTCCCCCTGATATCCAAAGTCTTGATTATTGGTAAAAGGCGAAGTAATGAGAAATGATGTGTTTGATAATTAAACATTTTTAACGTAGACAATTCACTTTGTTTTAAACATTTAAAATGCTTTATCAAGTACAAACAAAAACAAATCTGTTGCCATCCAGTTGATTCCAAATCATGGTAATCCCCTCATGTATTACAGAGTGGAACTGCTCCAGAGGTTTTTCTTGACTAGTATTTCACAAAATCTCTGAGTTTATACATGTTGTTAAGTGCTGTCCAGCCGGTTTTGATGCATAGTTACCTGTTATATGGTTTTCAAGGAGCAGTGGATATGTTTGAACCACAGACTTTGAGGCTAGCAGTCCAGTGCTTATCCTAGAGAGCCAACCTTCACTAGTGGGTTGGATCTAACAACCTTTCGGTCAGTAGTTGAACAAAAGCTGCTTGCTCCACTCACATATCATCATGAACTCAGTAGTGAAAAATTGGTGGGTTGTGCTACTCGTCTCCAATAAACTAAATACAGCCCCTGCTTCAGTACTTTTCTAGTCCTTACAATTTTCCCAGTGAAAGATACATATTTTCTAGCAAACATATTAGTAAAGAAAAATGTTTGAAGAGTAAATAGAATCAGATACATAAATAATTTCATTCAAATTATGTTTACCAGAAATACGTAAAGAGTTGAGTTCAGGAATTTTGCAACTTGAGGTTACTGTTTTATTATCTCAGTTCGCAACTTTAGGTTGACTGTTGAGTTATCACCAATGGTTGCTTCCACTGTGCTTGTTTTGTATCTTTTCAAGGGATAAATTTCATGTCATAAGAAAATGTGTGTCATTTCATAGTAAAAGTTCTCTCTCTCTTTAACAACAATTATTTACTGATTTGATAGAGTTGGCTTCTATAGACTTCTGACTTTATGCAATTAGTGCACAAAGATTTGAAACCAGAGTGGAATTTTTTAAAAAACAAAACAAAACATGACATATGAAAAAAACTCAATTGATGAAAATAATGAATGGCATTTTAATTGGGCTAGACATATAGCTTCTTAAGTGGATACTTGTATTCATCAAACTTTTATAATATATAAATCCTTAGAAATAGGTTTTATTTATAGTTACAATTTCTGTTTGGATGTGCTGTTAAAAAGCAGTAAAACTTGAAAGATAGGCTCCAACTTTTGAACAAGTTTATATTAATACAAACTTACATTTTCAACATTAGTTCTAAAGGTATCTCTTTTGTGCAAAGGTCCTCAAGCTGATTTCCTTCCTTTAATCAGAATAAAAGTGGTACTAGATATTTCTACAGATAGATTATATTTTTATAAGTAAGTGTCTTGAGACTATTAGTACCTGTTGATTGTCCCCATCCATAGTTCTAAGTGCAAATGAAATGTAGTGTTTCTTTAAAAACATGGGTGAACTTTGAAAACATGATGGCAAATAAAAGGACCACCCACTACATAATTCCCATTCCTATAAATATTCAGATTAGGGAAATCTATAGAGACAGAAAGTAGATTCCTGGTTGTTTAGGACTTGGGAGAAAAAGGGGTAGAAGATAGGAGATGATATCTAAAGGTCAGTATTTCTTTTTGAGGTGATGAAAATGTTCTAAAATTGACTATGATGATGGTTGCAGATATCTGCAAATAGACTAAATGTGTGAAATACTTTATATGTGTGATTTGTATAGTATGTAAGTTACATCTCAATAAAATTGTTTCTAAAAAAAAAATACATTTTAGTTTTATCCATATCTACCAAAACATTTCCTGCATCCCAATCTCATTTGATGTCCCACATTATTTCCCAAAGCTAGATTTATAGAAATTAGAGAGATTTTTAAATATAGGACTAGTCCACAATGAAATCCAAGAATCTATAATGAAAACCTGCCTACAGCTACATGAAGGGTTTTGCTATTGAAGTGTATTTATTTGACAGAGAATGGCTTAACATTTTTTTACCTTTTAAAATTATCTCTGTAATTTCTAAGTGAGGAATATATTATAAGAAGACTAAGGAAAGTAGAATCTGGGAAATAGGCTATTAAAACAATTGGAATGTAAAATATTGAAACATTATCTGAACTGGTGGTTCATCCTTAAGCTTTTTTTTTTTTTTTTTTGTATTTACATTTTCATGGTGTATTTCAGTTATTATGTGGTTTCTTGAAGTGGATTTACATTTACTTTTTTTTTTCTTTAGGTAATATTTAATGTTATTTTAGTCACTTTTACAATTAATTATTTTGGTGTGTTATTGGAGTGTTACTTACACCTGTAAACGTTTTATAATATTTATTGTGTTTTAGTTGATCCTGGAAACTTGTTTATTGGCCGTCACTTTATTATTGTGCTTTCCACAATTGCCTTTCACCTCCCTTTATCATTGTACCGCGACATAGCAAAGCTTGGAAAGGTAATTTTTACATTTTAAATAGGCATGGCAATGTACTTTGGTTTTATTGAATGGTTGATTGTCTTTATGGCAGAGTCTTAATTACAATATTCCTCTCTAGTTTCAGATGATTTATGGCTACAATAGAGTAGACTGTGTTGACTTAGCAGCTTGTTTTTTGGAACAGATGGTTAACTAGTTGATGAATGTCAATTAAGCATGTCCTTCCATTTTAAGGTAGAGTCTCTGATATCAGAAAACAAAGCACATTTTAAATATAGAAAATAAAAAAGAATTATAAAGCAAATCTAACTTATTGGGGGAAAATCCTATCCCCCTTTCTAGTCATTACAATAATTTGAAATCAAACTAACTCTAAGACATAAGATGAATCATTTCGTAGATTGAAAGTAGTTTTATTTGTAAATTAAAGTGTCTGCTGTGTCTGTTTCATCCAATGGATGTGCATGGCATTGTACTGATTGATTGATTTTTGAGAATTTATTTACTATTTATGATTACTGTTGCTAAAGAGAAATGCTGATTTTTTCTAAAGAAACCAACCAAATAATTATAAAACTCACCCACAAATTTATTTGTATAGATTGAGCCTTATCTGGCAACAATTTATGCCTCTTACTGTCAAGGAATGTTTTTATTTTTACAAAAATAGTATGGATGTTATATCTACAGAGTGCTGTGGCTTTGTAGAATAAGTACTGGACTGCTAAACATAAGATCGATTTTCTGGCTATATTTTATTTCCTTACTTTCAAGGAATGCCTTTATTTTTACAAAAAATATTGTGGGTGCTGTATCTACAGAATGCTATGCAGGCTAAGCATTGAACTGCTAAACACAAAGTCTGCCATTCGAGCCCACCAATTGTTTTGCAGAAGAAAGATGAGGATTTCTGCTCATGCAAATATTTACAGCTTCAGAAACCATATGTTGTTGTTAAATACTAGCCAGTCAATTCCAACCCATAGCGACCCTGTATGGGGCTTCTAAGAAACAGCTGGTGAGCTTGAACCACTGAGCTTGTGCTTTAAACTGATATTTCAGTCCAGTGCATTAGCCCACAGCACCACGCAGGACTCCCAGAAACCATTTAAAGGGTCTCTATTAGTCAAAACCGAATTAACAACTTAAAAACAACATATCAACATAATGCCAAGCACTGTGATAATTTTTTTTAAAGAATTGTTTACATGATCTTTTTATATTCTATTTTGAAAAGTACAATAGTTGCGTTTTACCTTTCACTGTGATGCTTGATGTGTATCCACAGTTATAAAGCCCCTGATCCTAGGCAGAGATGAGGCTGGAGATGAAGTTCGGGAGTATTCTGAGCATTCTGTCTTTCCCTAGCAGCCCTCCAGAAATAAACAACAGTGTGTAGCAAACAGAATATAAATATAATGAATTTATATCAGTGTAAGGAAGAACCTAATATTTTAAATTGACAAAATCTTTGCATTTTTCTTTTTCAGATATCACTTATTTCTACAGTTTTAACAACTCTGATTCTTGGAATTGTAATAGCTCGGGTAGTTTCACTGGGTCCACACATGTAAGTGTTATTGTTGTACTTGTTCATCTTCAATATATAACCTTTAATATATAGCTTTCACATACATATTTATATTTATATAACATGTTATCAAGGCATGAATATAAAGTATTGATTATATACAGATTTCCTGTAGTACTTTTTAAAATGAGGTAAAGACTTGAGTTTTTTAGTTGGACCCTGTAAGTACGATGGGATTCAAACCAAATTTTCTTATGTTTTTAAAAAAAGCTTTTTACTGAGAATTTTACACTAAAAGTTTACAGAGCAAGTTTGTTTTCCATTCACAATTTATGCCCATTTTGTTCATGTCACTAACTGCAATCCCCACTCATCATGACCAATCCAGAGAATTAGAATGAGGAAGGGGTTTTGAATTAAGAAATAGGTATTCAGTAGAAAATTCAGATGGAGCAGTAGTAGATAGCCAGAATTCTTATATCTACCCCAGAAATGGGTTTGTTCATAATAAAGTTTCACTAATCTAGACTGAAATGAAAAGGAAAAGAGCACTGTAGGTATTTTTATCCCATTAAATTAACTGCATTGTCTTTGAATATATTGTGAGTACATTTGAATACTCTTCTAAGATAATATTCTCTAATGATTTTGCATTACAACACTTGCATTTGTAAACTGATATTGGTGATAGCTGACAGCAGTATAATTTGATATTCATATCCCAATTTTTGAAAATGTCACTTATCTATAAAATTGAACTGTATGGACACTACTGATCAAAACTATATAGTTTTGTGCTTTTATTATAGACTAGATTAAGAACTGAATCGTCCTGAAAAAATGCTAGAATGGTACTGCCTTAAACTGAGTTGAAACATATACATATACACAATAAATATTTATTGACTAAATAATTAATACATGATGGGGCTATCATGACATCTTACACATTTTCTATGTTCTAAACTAGGTCTAGCACAGTGTAAGGAACATATATGGTTACTGACGATTATGTATGTCCCTTGGTATATAGCTATAAATGATCATGAAGAAGGAAATTAACATAATTTTTCCTATTGGATTAATTATTGCTATGTAAAATTGTTGTTGCTATCGAGTAGTTTCTGACTTATAGCAACCCTATGCACAACAGAACAAAATACTGCCCAGTCCTGTGCAATCCTCACAATTGCTGTTTTACACTTGAGCCCATTGCTGCTAGCACTGTACCAATCCATCTAGTTGTGTGTGTGTGGGGGGGGGGGTCTTCTCTTTTTTGCTAACCCTCCATTTTATAAAGCATGATGTCCCTCTCTAGGAATTGGTCCCTTCTGATAATATACCTGAAGCATGAGAGAGGAAGTTTCGTTATCCTGTTTCTAAGGAACATTCTGGTTGTACTTCTTCCAACACAGACCTGTTTGTTCTTCTCCAGCATCACAATTTAAGTGCATCAATTATTTTAGAGTTTTCCTTATTCATTCTCCAACTTTCAAATACATACTGAAAATACCACGGCTTGGGTCAGTCAGGCGCACCTGAGTCCTCAAACTAGTATTTTTGCTCTTAAATACTTTAAAGCTCTACAGATCTTCATCCTTCATGTTTAATGCATCAAATATATTCTTGAAATATCTCTAAATTCAGGTGGGATATGTTCAAGTTCATATTTTGGCTTTTGTGGACTTGTTTTAATTTTCTGCAGCTTCAGCCTGAATTTGCATAGGAGCAATTTATTCTCTGTTCTACAGTCTGCCCCTAGTGTTGTTCTGGATGATGATATTGAGCTTTTCCACCTTCTCTTCCCACAGATGTAGTCAATTTGATTCCTGTATATTACATCTGGTAAGGTCCTTGTCTATACTCATCTTTTATGTTGTTCAAAAAAGCTGTTTGCAATGAAGAAGTCGTTTATCTTACAAAATTCTATCATGCGATCTCCAGCATCATTTCTATCACCAAGGTCATATTTTCCAGCTACTGATACTTCCTCTTTGTTTCTAACCTTTGCATACCAATCACCTGTAATTATCAATACATCTTGATTGCATGTTTGATCAGTTTCAGAATGAGGAAGTTGATAGAATTCTTCAATTTCATCTTTACTGGCTTTAGTGATTGTTGCACAAGTTTAAATAATAATGGCATTAACTGGTCTTCTTTGCTGTTGTTGGTGTTAGGTGAATCAGTACTGACTCATAGCGACCTTATGCACAGCAGAACAGAACACTGTCCAGGACTGAACCAATCTCACAATTGTTACTACACTTGAACCCATTACAGCTGCCATTGTGACAGTCCATCTTTTTTCAGAAAAAAAAAGATGGGGTCTTCCTCTTTTTTGCTGACCCTCCATTTTACCAAAAATGATGTCCTTTTCCAGAGATGATCCCTGCTGACAATATGTCCGAAGTATGAGATATGAATTCTGGCCATCCTCACTTCTGTGGAGCATTCTGGCTGTAGATTTGTTTGGTCTTCTGGCAGTCCATGGTACTTTCAATATTCTCCTCTAACAGCACAATTGAATTGCTTCAATTCTTCTACGGTCTTCCTTATTCACTGTCCAACTTTCACATGCCTTTGAGGCTATTGAAAATATCATGGTTTGGATCAGGTATACAAAGATGTTCTCAGCCTGACATCTTTGCTTGTGAGCCCTTTAAAGAGGTCTTGTGCAGCACATTTGCCTGTTGCAATAAGTCATTTGATTTCTTTGCTGCTGCTTCCATGAGTGTTAATAGTTAATACAAACAAAATGAAATCTTTGGCAAGTTGAATGTTTTTTCCATTTATCTTGATGCTTTTTATTGGTCCAGTTGTGAGGATTTTTGTTTTCTTTACATTGTGCAACCCATAGTGAAGACTATAGTCTTTGATCTTCATTAGTAAACATTTTAAGTCCTCTTTGCTTTCAGCAAGCAAAGTTATATCATCTACATATTGCAACATATTGCATTAGCATATGGATATTATTCTATCATGGACAGCATTGTATTTCAAGATAGATCTTGAAATGTTCTTTTTGACACTATGCCATTCCTTTACAATTTGTCATTACCAGCAAACAATATATGATTGTCACATTTAAAATAGCCAGTCCTGAGCATTCCTGCTTTGTAATGCCTAGCATATCAATAATTATGCTTTTTATTTCATTTTTTACAAGTTCTAATTTTCCTAGATTCATACTTTATACATTTCATGGTCCATTTATTAATGGATGTTTACAGCTGTTTCTTCTCATTTTGAGTTGTGCCCCATCAACAAATGAAGCTTTACTCCATTCACATCATGATGGTCAATGCTCCTTGGTGGAGACAGCTCTTCCTCAGTCATAATTTGCATGCTTTTAAATATATGTATGTGTGTGTGTGTGTGTGTGTGTGTGTGTGTGTGTGTGTGTCTGGCTGTCTCAAGGTCATTTGGAAATAAATTTGAAATATGTAGTCTCATTGTATTTGAAATGGTCTTTAATTTAAAAAAAGGAATAATTTAAATACAGAACAAAGTTAAATAGCTATTGTTGTTGTGCCAGCTCTTTTTCAGAGTGACCCTGTATAGGTTTTCTGAGAAGGGGCTGGTGAGTTAAAACTGCCGACCTTGAGATTCAAACCAGTCAAGTAATGTTTATATTATTTGTATCGTCCAATCACTTCAACGTAAATATATATTCCTTCATTTAGCAAACACTTTATTGAGTGTTTATTGTTTAAAGATATTGTGCTATGTCCTGAGTGGGAAAAAGTGGAAAAAAGAGTTGAGTTGGCACCACTTACCCAAAGCTACAAGTGTTCACAGTCAAGTATATAGGAAGTAATCAGACGTGACTTAATTAGAAAAAAAAAAAAAATAAAAGAAGCAGAAGCTGTGGCAATGTAGAGTAAAGAGACAGAGTGCACAAAAGAAATTCATGCATAATAACCTGTTCAGATCAGGATGAACTTCCTGAAGGAAGACAGATGTGACCTGGGTGTTTTAAAAAGATGTATCAGAATTTTTCCAGATCGATAAGGAAGTAAAAGGCATTGCAAACTCAGGAAAATTCAGCATAAACACACAAAAGTATGTATTCAATTCTACTGATATTTATTTAGCATCCACACTGTAAGATGGAGTCCTGGTGTGGTGCTATAGGATAAGCACTTGACTACTAACTGCTAGGTCAGTGTTTCAAATCCAATAGCCACTCCTTGGAAGCACCACATAAGGTCTCTGAGTCAAAACTGACTCCACGGAACTTAACAACAACAAAAACACACTGTGGGTATCCCCTGGACTGCTAGACGCAGGACTGACAGTTCAAAGCCAGCAGTTGCTTTGTGGGAGAAAGACAAAGTTGTTCGCTCCCATAAACATTTGCAGTCTTCAGTTGGAAGGTCACTTGCAGGGTCACTATGAGTTGGAATCAGCTAGATGGCAGTGAGTTTGAGTTGAGATTATAGTGGTAGTTTGTAACTCTGGTTTTCCAGAATTGAATCCACATCAGCAGAAAGCTAAAAGGTATTTGAAAAGAATATAATGAATAGTCCTGGTGTGGCACTTTCAGTTAATGTGTCAGACTGCAAAGCCATTTCAACTGTAAGGTCAGCAATTCAAGCTCACCAGCTGCTCCTCGAAAACACTATACAGTGTCACTATGGGTCGGAACTGACTCAATGGCACTTATCAACAGCAATATATGGTTATACTTTTAATTATATAAACAACCTATTTCCACTGAAGCTTTTTCTTAATGAAAAGTGATCCTAGAAAACAATTCATTAGCATTATTAAAAAGTCTTATAAGTTTGGTAACTATAGTATGTTTTTGTTGTTTTGTGCCACTGAGTTAATTCTGACTCATAGCAACCCTGAATAAGGTTTCTAAGAACAGTTAGTGGGTTTGGTAACTTTCCAGTTACCAGTCCAGTGCTTATCCTATAGCATCACATCAGGGCCCAAATATAGTATAATAAGTCAATCATGGGAGTGGGGGAAGAAAAACAAAGAAAAATCAAGCCCATCATTGAAAAAGTGAGGTAAATAAATTAATCATG